AACGTAAATCATTATCTCTCTCCCTTCCCTATAATTCTCGTCGATTTCACGTAACAGAAGAAAGAAAAGAAATTTCATCGTTCTCTCTCATTCATATCTCTTGGCGTTCGAATAACACAGGCAAGAAACAAGAAACTTTAATCATTTTTTACTAGTCTCTATCTCCCTCTACCTCTCGTATTTTTTTTCTTCCCGTCGGCCAACTGGAGCAGCACCCTGTGACGTACGCAGCCGCGAGCAGCCATCTCGCAGTGCTGTTTCACCATATTTTTTGGTGAGTTCCCTCCGGCAAGAAGCAGGCCCTCAACACGAACACCCCGCCGGCGAGACTAGCAACGCAACCTAGACTCACCGTGAGCGACCCAAACCATTGATCCGTCTTTCCGATTTATTACCCGAAGACGGGTAATATATTCAAACCTTTTTGTCATCTCGTTCATGCTCAAATATCGTGAGATTGGATGTATATCGTGCGTTCTATCGAATTCTTGTTTGAAGTCGGATTCACTTCGGTTTATCTATATATTCATGTATTTATTCATTCATGCTATCGTGACTTTACGTGGATGATTGGAGCTTTCATTTTGGTAATAACGAATATCATATTGTTGCTGTGATTATTTCGATTTGTTTTGGAGTCTCGGTATCATTTTTCGAGTTGTCGTTTTACCATTCACTTGATTTGTATATAACATCATTACCTTAATTTTTACTGCTATGTTCTACTGTTGTTATGAGCCTCAAAAACTTGTATTTTGATGTTGTTCCCCCTAATGAAATGAAGTTCGATCTGTTAGCTTTCGTTGGACCTTGGAATCATGTGATTTCAATTTGAAACGAATAAGTTATGATTTTTATAAAATTGTCAAGCAAGCAGTTTTTAACAAATCCCGGCAGCATGTACTTATTTTATGTTTGACCTGTTTATCACGTCTTAAGTTGCTCAAATGTGAGAATGATCTTCATAAAGGTTATAGGTCTTTTTCATAGCTTTCTAATGAGGTAGGTTGCATGCTGATGTGAGCTCTATAGCTCGAGTTGTGTTTTAATGAATATAGACGTGCATAAAATAGGGTTTGTACTTTGGAAGATTTTATGACTCGCATGTTTTGTCTTTAAACTTATTGTTAATGTCATTATTTGCTTTTGAGTTCTTTATAAAAGTTGTAGATGCATGGCTTAGGTTTAATTCGAGACTTGAAATATGTTCATGCGAGTTATATGTTGAGCGTTATGTTGATTTTAAAAACACTATCGGGTTAGGTTTTTGAAAATTCGTGTTATGTGTTCGAAAATGAAGTGTTCGTTTTTCATGCATGCTTATACGAGCTGTGTGAGTTGAGTTGCATCACACGATTGTAGTTATAAGTGTGCATATATTGAATAGTCATTTATAGGACTATTTTTATATAATGTAGGTGTTTGACGAGCTATGTTCTCGACCTACTTTTTCTCAATTTTTGTGACTTCGTATTTCTCCCGATATCAGGTGGGTTTTATTTATGAAATTGCTATGCTATAATTAATTGATGTTGTATGTGGTATGATATCAGCTGTACCGGCCGTCAAACGGTTATCCCCGTAGCTATAGAACGTACCCTTTGGGTAGTCTCCTTTATTATTGTTGTCAGTCAGGGCGTGAGCCTTGGCTGGTGATCCTCGTTGGTAAGTCCAAGGCGTAAGTCTTGGCCGTCGGGGGTGGATTTACTCTTGTTGGCCAGGCATTCGTTGTAAGTCCTTAGATAAGGCGTTCGGTATATAGTTCGGCAATAGTGTATTGCTATAGGTGTGCACATGAGATTGATTATTGATTATTGATAGGAGATGAGACGATTATTGATTCGTATACATGTTGTGACCATACCTAAATTATTTTCATGATTATTGAATATTAATTATTGCATAGTGGTGAGCACCTCGATTTTCTAATTGTGCTCACCCCCACCTGCTCTTCATGGATGCATGTTAGTATATGCAGGTACGACGGAGGGATGCGAGTGGTGGTCTATTTATTTTTTATTGCTTCCGCCTATTGAACTGCATACTGTTATTATTTTATTTCGAATATTGAATATTGGATTATTGTTAAGGAGTGTGCTCCTTGGATTTTAGACATTTGAGTAATCCGGTTTGGGTAATGGATTGATGATTGATGTTTTATGATTTATTATTACAGATTGACA